AGATGTTAGCGAGTGGTGTATGAATTTCTAAACCAAGTGAAGGGGAGTACTGGGTAGTGGGACCTAAATGCTACAGTAAGAAAACATTTACAGAAGGAGTGGTAGTAAGTGTTGGGTAGCCAGGTTTTAAAATATAATGGGCCCTTGACTGAACCTTCATATAGGAAGAAAGTTTTTGGTTATAGATATTCCAATTTTTTAAGAAAAAGTAGGACAAATAATATGCAAGATATAATGAGGGTGGTAATGACAGTAGTTTTATGGACTATATATTAGTAGATAAAAGACAATTGAGTAGATTTCAAGATGAACATGTTTATAGAGTGGCCCACAGATATATCAGATCACTTTTTAGTTGTAGCTACAGTGAGTGTAAAAGGTAGATGGGATACATAGAAAATGTAATCAGCAAATAATAGAAATGGTGAAGTTAATAAGCTAAGGAGGAGGCAGTTAGCAAAAGATATAAACCATTACTGAGGAAAGTGGGCTAGTGAGTGAATAAGCAATTGGGTTGAAGATGTATGGGGGAGGTTAAGAATGTAGTGGTTCAGAAGTGTTCAGCAGAATATTGTGGTATACAGGAAATGATATGCGGGAGGGAAGAAAGATGATTGGTGGAATGTTTTTGTAAGAGAATCGTAAGAGGAAAAAGTTAGCAAATGGAGAGGTTTTTACAAAGTAAATGATGCAACGAGGAGGATATATGGAGAGAAAAACATGTTAAGAGAATGGTGAACCAATGTAAACAGAGAGCAAAAGAAGAGTGGGTGAGATGTTAGCAACATATTTTGTAGGAAAAAAGAAAAAGTTTTGTAGTTGAGATTATTAATTTGAAGAAGCCCTAAGTGAAAACGAAAAAAAAAATGGGATTTGGACAGTTTAAAATAGGAGATGAGAGTTAATTACATGGAAATAAGAGGATCGAGAAGATGGATGGAATTTTTTGAGGAATTGTTTAAATGTTGATGAAGATAGGAAAGCTGAGATTTAATTCGTGTATATGGCAAGGAAAAAAAACATCTTTTAGAAGTGAGGAAGAGACAGTTTGTGAAGTGTGAGGGAAGATCGTGTGGCATCTGGGTATAATGAAATGGGGCGAGATCAGCCGGGATTGATGGACGACAGACAGAAATGTTAAAAACAGGTGCGATTATAGTTTTTGAACCGGATGGTGCTTTCATTTTAAAAATGTATGAAAGAGTGTAAGGTACTTTAGGGATTTGGCAGTGAACATCATAATTCCTTTGTATAAGGTAATAGGACAAAAGAGAGCGCACAAATATGGTAAGTGAATTAAGTCATGCTGAGTATATTTAGTAAAGTGTATGGTAGAGTTATTTATTGAAAGAATCAAGAGAAGGTCGGAGAGTAGGATATCAATAAACAAGGATGCTTTTATATGGGTAGAGGGAGTGTAGTCCAAGTGGTTTACAGTGATGCATAAAGGTGAACAGAAATTTAGACTAAGGGTAAAGAGGTTTTTATGGCATTTATGAAATTGGAAAAGGCATATGATATGGTGGAAAAGGGGTAAAGTGCAGATGTTTGCAAATGTATTGAATAGGAGGTAGGTTATTGAAAGCAGTGAAAGCATTTTACGATGGGGAGGGGAGGGGGAGGGGGGGGATAGTGTTGGCTCAGGTTTAAAGTATTAGATAAAGGGAAATTATTCCCATGAACGCAGGCCTTAGGAAAAGATGTTTATGTCACCATGAATGTTTTAAAAAATTTTATAGATAGGGTTGAAGAGTATTGAATGGCTCGGGTGTTGGCAAGAGGTGGGGTTAAAAGATAAAGAATCTTAACACAAAATATGGGAGTTTGTCACAGAATTCTCTTTTGCTGGATGGCATTGCACGTGTTTAGGAGATTCCAGAAGAGAATTGCTGTGGTTGTGGATGATTTTGTAGGGTATGTAAAAGTAGAACATTGACATGATAAAGGAAGAGTAAGGTGATGATATAAAACAATAAATTAAGTAACAAAGATTGGATATTAAAATGGAGGGAGAAGGTATTTTGGAGAGTGAATGAATTCAAATATTTAGGAGTGGACGTGTCACAGTTGGGTCTATGAAATATCAGGTGCATCCATTGAATTGACGATTGAAGATAGGTATGGGTGTACCGAGATTCTGTAGAGACAAAGAACTTTGCCTATTTAAGCAAAGAGGGTAATGTATGAGAGTATAGTTAACGCCAAAGCGTTATATGGGTGGTGAATGTTGCAAACAAGGAAAGGCTGTAGGCAGTGGAGAAGTCATTTTCTGAGATGTGTGAAATGTAAATGCAGAGATTCATAGTTTCGAAATTAGGAGGTGTGGGATTCGCTCAGAACTAATACCCAAGGGCAGAGGAGAGTTTGTGAGGTGGTTCGGACATGTAGCAGGTTGCAAAAAAATGGAATGAATTCGAGATTATATAAATCTGTAGTGAGGGAGGCGGGGTAGAGGTCGGCCTATGAAAGGTATAGATGAAGGAGTAAAGGATGTTTTGTGTGTTCGAGACTTTCCAGCAAGCATACTTGAGCATGTTAACTGAGCGAATGGAGAAAAAATGTTTTTTAACAATACTTTGAGTGCTGTTGATGTGAGCAAAGGTAACATTTATGAAGGGATTCAGGGAAATCAACATGCCGAGAATTGAGTCCTGGAGATGGAAGTACCAGTGGGCCTGCACTCTAAAGAAGGGGTGTTAATGTTTGCAGTTTTATAATAGTAGTGTAAGCGCCCTCTGGCAAGATCAGTGAAGAAGTTAAGTGATGTGAAAGTTTTCTTTTCGGCCGCACCTGACCTTTGGAGGGGAACGGCTCGATGTTTAATAAAACAATAAATATTAACCTAACAGTGTAATAAACTTAATGTTATATCGTTTTTGTGACTAAAAAAAAAGACCTTTGGAATATAAATGGTAATAAAACACACAAAATGAAGACTGTAGAAACTCTGGCAAAGTATTTCTTCGTCTAGTGGAAAGAAATTGTCTTCTGTCAGAAATAAGTCAATCATAATTTTTGCAAAGCAATTCAGACAAGACAGTTGTTGAGTGAATCCAAGGATTCTCACAACCAAAATGTCAGTGTAAACCTACTAGTGTATTTTGAATTATTTTTAATTTCAAGATAAAAAATGAAAGTTTTTCTATTTTTCCTCATTTACTACAAAGTTAGAAAACTTTTAATTGTATATTGGAAATACGTCTTGTTTATTCATTTTATATTAAAGAGTTTTGCTCAATCACAAGTTTTATACTTTGAATTTTTAAATATTCAGTTTCCAGCTATTTTTTCAGTATTTCAAAAATAATTAAAAATATTATGAATGTTGTATAATTTTGTTTCACGTTTAATATAAATGAAAATTATTGTGATTTGTTTCTTATAAGATTTCCGTTACTTAACATCAAGCACAAATATGTTTTGAGTCAGATTTATTTAATTTCTTTAGTTTATAAACCTCACCAGGAGTTTTTTGTGAAGATATTGTTATTTCAGAGATAAAAAGTTATTTAATATGAACTTTTCCTGTGTTATTTAGGTTATTGAGGCTATAAACTCTGCCTTACTGGTAATATATGAACGTAATTTTATCATAATATTTAAAATTAAAATAATTATAGGAAAAGTATCGGTATAATGTATTCGGCCGAAACTTGAGTATCGGTATCGGCAAAATTTTTGGAGGCCGTCCTATTCCCTAAAATACTCATAATTACATATTTCGTTTATCCAACAGTCGATGTTCACGTGTTGGAATCTCGTGGTTTGTGGGCGTGGTTGATGTGGTGCATGTGGGGCCCACGAGAGCGTCAGTGCTATGTGGGAGCATGCAATTACCCAACAGGTGGGAGCACAGCAACTCCTGTATCAACGAAGGAAGGTGCCTCTCGGCCCAGGCATGGGCGGCTCAGCCGTGCAGACCCTGGTCAGAGAATGGGCCGACAGCAACTGTAGCTACCCAACCCCCCCCCAGACTGCTGTAGTGTGGCTCCACAGCTGTGCTTCCATGTAGGTGAGTTCCTGTTAACTGTTATAGCCCAGACACCTGTCCAAATTCTGCATATGCCTCTTAAGCTTTTCTAAGCTCTTCCACATCTTTGTACAGCTGTTTCCATGATCTTCCTACCTTATTTTCCTGCATCATCACTCTGTCTATTTTCTCGTTCTGTATCACCTTTGCTTGCATGTGTTCATTTCTTGGACATTATAAGATTTTTGAATAATTTCTTGGTACTGAATGTTTTACACGTGTTTTCATGAAACAGCAGTTATATCTCCTCCCAATAAATTCAAAGTTCCACATAATCACAGAAGGGAATACATGTACACCTCATGAATGTTCTCGTCATTTATTTCTCTCTTATTTTGCCCTTCCAGTTTTAAAATTTATAAACAAATAAATGACGAAGTGAACTAATAGGTCCTCGAGAAATTCGTAAAATTATGGTCCTCTAGGCGATTAACAAATTATATGAAACAACTAGCCTACTCTTGGGTTCTATGACTCAAAAATTGATAATAGACAACGAGATCCCCATAAATTTTCAATTCCAATTTGGATTAAAAGTAATATGGCCCATTTAACGAATTTCTTGTCCTTAAAACGTTGTATAGGTGTCTTCTTTAAAACATTGCTAATTATAATTATTTTCAATTTATATTTCATAGTCTTGATGATATTCGAGTATCGTTGTTTTAGTTACAATACTATATTTAATAATTATAAGCAAATAATAAACAAACTGGGTAATAAAATATGTTATGAGTCATCTTCGACTGTCATGATCCAGAAGAAACCGAAGCAGTTTTGTTTTCATTTCCGATTTTCGAGTTTCCTGGATTTTTTTCAACCACCCTAACATAACTTAGTTTTACAAATTTAGTTTTTATATACAGAGTACAGAAGGCTGGAAGCGGAAAGAGTCTGGGTTTCAACATTTACCTAAATTCAAATAAGTACTCTTTGGATTTCCTTTAAAATCTACGACACTTCCCGGCAGAGTGATCAACAAGGTGGGACATCTACAGTGGACCAAGGACGGCTTCGGTCTCGGCACAGAGAGGGACCTCTTTGGCTTCTCCCGCTACGCCATGATCGGCTCCGACGATGAAGGTCAGTGTGTCAACCTTTGTGCACCAGTGAGGAGAGAGATGAGTTGAGGTCAGTATGTCACCTCATCTTGTACACCAGTGAGGAGAGAAATGAGTTGAGGTCAGTGTGTCACCTTATCTTGTACACCAGTGAGGATAGAAATGAGTGGAGGTCAGTGTGTCACCTCATCTTGTACACCAGTGAGGAGAGAAATGAGTTGAGGTCAGTGTGTCACCTTATCTTGTACACCAGAGGATAGAAATGAGTGGAGGTCAGTGTGTCACCTCATCTTGTACACCAGTGAGGAGAGAAATGAGTTCAGGTCAGTGTGTCACCTCATCTTGTACACCAGTGAGGAGAGAAATGAGTTCAGGTCAGTGTCACCTCATCTTGTACACCAGTGAGGAGAGAAATGAGTTCAGGTCAGTGTGTCACCTCATCTTGTACACCTGAACTGTACAAAGTGTTTTTCCCAGTCAGGAAAGAAAAGAAGGAAAAAAATAAATACGATGAACCTTGATGCTTCCAATATAATTCTCTCAGTCGCAACATTATTCAAGGTAACAACAAGTTTGCACATAAATGGTATAGAGTACCGACAAGATGAAGAATTAGAAACATGTGCAGCATCTGGGTATCTGGTAGACGTGTCGCCTTCTAGTGGCTCTGTCAGTACAATGGAAGGACATAATGTGAAAATTGAAGAAGTATTTACAAAAGACGAGATAATGAGTCCCTCAGCCAAGAAGTAGGTAATGAGAACCGTAATCTTGAAGAATCTTAATATCTGTGCTTCAGATTCTTCACGACCACGGTGCTCATCACTAAGTCAAACGCTGAGGGACTGATTACCTCTCGTTTTGTATATAATTCTGCAGTCTTCACACTATAACCTTGTATTGATAAAGCCACTGGATGGCGAAACGTCTTTAAATTATAGATACCAAAGATGTCGGTATTGTATAACATTCATACACAATTTGTGAAACACAGTAACATCATGGAATCTTGGTGAAGAGAATATCTTCACAACCTACTTTCTTACCCCTGGTCATCTGGATGACCCTACCGGTCACACTGTCTTCATCTCCTGCACCTCCCTCATTCGATACAGGTATAAGTGCCAGTTTTCCTGCCTGTGCTTCAGATTCTTCAGGACTATGGAGCTCAGCACCTACTCCTAGGCTGTGGGACTGATTACCTGGTCTACAGTACGCATTTCTACAGTCCTCACATTAAGTCTTTGTTATGATAAAGCTATTGGATGGAGACACTTCAGTAAATTAAAGATACCCAGATGTTTCACATGTGTTTAATTCAGCAGGAAGTTCAACATTTTTGCCACTCCACTACCATTACTGCCTTATCCAAAGCCATTACTGTCTTATCCACTACCATTACTGCCTTATCCAAAACCATTTCTGTCTTATCCACTACCATTACTGCCTTATCCAAAACCATTACTGTCTTATCCACTACCATTACTGCCTTATCCAAAACCATTACTGTCTTATCCAATACCATTACTGCCTTATCCAAAGCCATTACTGTCTTATCCACTACCATTACTGCCTTATCCAAAACCATTACTGTCTTATCCACTACCATTACTGCCTTATCCAAAACCATTACTGTCTTGTCCACTACCATTACTGCCTTATCCAAAACCATTACTGTCTTATCCACTACCATTACTGCCTTATCCAAAACCACTACTGTCTTATCCACTACCATTACTGCCTTATCCAAAACCATTACTGTCTTATCCACTACCATTACTGCCTTATCCAAAACCATTACTGTCTTATCCACTACCATTACTGCCTTATCCAAAACCATTACTGTCTATCCACTACCATTACTGCCTTATCCAAAACCATTACTGTCTTATCCTCTACCATTACTGCCTTATCCAAAACCATTACTGTCTTATCCACTACCATTACTGCCTTATCCAAAACCATTACTGTCTTATCCACTACCATTACTGTCTTATCCACTACCATTACTGCCTTATCCACTACCATTACTGTCTTATCCACTACCATTACTGTCTTATCCACTACCATTACTGTCTTATCCACTACCATTACTGTCTTATCCAAAACCATTACTGTCTTATCCACTACCATTACTGTCTTATCCACTACCATTACTGCCTTATCCACTACATTACTGTCTTATCCACTACCATTACTGTCTTATCCATTAACATTACTGTCTTATCTACAACAATTACTGTCTTATCCAATACAATTTCTGTCTTATCCACTACCATTACTGTCTTATCCACTACCATTACTGTCTTATTCACTACCATTATTGTCTTATCCACTACCATTACTGTCTTAGCCACTACCATTACTGTTTATTCCACTACCATTACTGTCTTATCCACTACCATTACTGTCTTATCTACTACCATTATTGTCTTACCCACTACCATTACTGTTTTATCCACTACCATTACTGTCTTATCCACTACCATTACTGTCTTATCCACTACCATTACTGTCTTATGCACTACCTAATATTACACTCTTATCCACTACCATTACTGTCTTATCCACTACCATTACTATATTATCCACTACCATGACTGTCTTATCCACTACCATTACTGTCTTATCCACTACCATTACTGTCTCATCCACTGCCATTACTGTCTTATCCACTACCATTACTATCTTATCCACTACCATTACTGTCTTATCCACTACCATTACTGTCTTATCCACTACCATTACTGTATTATTCACTACCATTACTGTCTTATCCACTACCATTACTGTCTTATCCACTACCATTACTGTCTTATCCACTACCATTACTGTCTTATCCACTACCATTATTGTCTTATCCATTACCATTACTGCCTTATTCACTACCATTACTGTCTTATCCACTACCATTACTGTCTTATCCACTACCATTACTGTCTTATCCACACCATTACTGTCTTATCCACTACCATTACTGTCTTATCCACTAAACCCTTACTGTCTTATCCACTACCATTACTGTCTTATCCACTACCATTACTGCCTTATTCACTACCATTACTGTCTTATCCACTAAACCATTACTGTCTTATCCACTACCATTGCTGTCTTATCCACTACTATTACTATCTTATCCAATCTTACATTTTCTTTAACTCCTTCCTTTCAGTTTTGCTCTCACCTCCGTTATTATATTCCTCTTCCTTTAACTTCTCCCTCACCCTTCTCTTAACTTCTCCCTCACCCTTCCATTAACTTCTTTCTCACATTTCCCTTAACTTCTCCGTCACCCTTCCCTTAACTTCTCGCTCACCCTTCCCTTAACTTCTCCATCACCCTTCCCTTAACTTCTCCTCTCACCCTTCCCTTAACTTCTCCTCTCATCCTTCCCTTAACTTCTCCTCTCATCCTTCCCTTAACTTCTCCTCTCATCCTTCCCTTAACTTCTCCTCTCATCCTTCCCTTAACTTCTCCTCTCATCCTTCCCTTAACTTCTCCTCTCATCCTTCCCTTAACTTCTCCCTAACCCTTCCCTTAACTTCTCCCTCACCCTTACCTTAACTTCTCCCCAACCCTTCCCTTAACTTCTCCCTCACCCTTACCGTAACTTCTCCTTCACCCTTCCCTTAACTTCTCCCTCAACCTTCGCATAGATTCTCAATCTCCCTACTTTCACTGTCTCCGCGAACTTCCTTTAATATCTCCCTCATCCTTCCTTTAACTTCTCCCTCACCTTTCTATTAACATTTCCCTTACCCTTCCATCAAGTGGTATCTCACCCTTCCTTCAAGTTGTCTCTCACTCTTCCATCAAGATGTCTCTCACCCTTCCATCAAGTTGTCTCTCACCCTTCCATCAAGTTGTCTCTCACCCTTCCATCAAGTTGTCTCTCACCCTTCCATCAAGATGTCTCTCACCCTTCCATCAAGTTGTCTCTCACCCTTCCATCATGTTGTCTCTCACCCTTCCATCAAGTTGTCTCTCACCCTTCCATCAAGTTGACTCTCACCCTTCCATCAAGTTGTCTCTCACCCTTCCATCAAGCTGTCTCTCACCCTTCCATCAAGTTGTCCATCACCCTTCCATCAAGTTGTCTCTCACCCTTCCATCAAGTTGTCTCTCACCCTTCCATCAAGTTGTCTCTCACCCTTCCATCAAGTTGTCTCTCACCCTTCCATCAAGTTGTCTCTCACCCTTCCATCAAGTTGTCTCTCATCTTTCCATCAAGTTGTCTCTCACCCTTCCGTCAAGTTGTCTCTCACCCTTCCATCAAGTTGTCTCTCACCCTTCCATCAAGTTGTCTCTCACCCTTCCATCAAGTTGTCTCTCACCCTTCCATCAAGTTGTCCATCACCCTTCCATTAAGTTGTCTCTCACCCTTCCATTAAGTTGTCCAACACCCTTCAATTAAGTTGTCTCTCACCCTTCCATGAAGTTGTCCATCACCCTTCCATTAAGTTGACTCTCACCCTTCCATCAAGATGTCCATCACCCTTCCATTAAGTTGACTCTCACCCTTCCATCAAGTTATCCATCACCCTTCCATCAAGTTGTCTCTCATCCTTCCATCAAGTTGTCTCTCACCCTTCATGTTGTCTCTAACCCTTCCATCAAGTTGACTCTCACCCTTCCATCAAGTTGTCCATCACCCTTCCATCAAGTTGTCCCTCACCCTTCATGTTGTCTCTAACCCTTCCATCAAGTTGACTCTCACCCATCAATCAAGCTGTCCCTCACTCTTCCATAAAGTTGTCCCTCACCCTTCATGTTGTCTCTAACCCTTCCATCAAGTTGACTCTCACCCTTCAATCAAGCTGTCCCTCACCCTTCCATCAAGTTGTCCCTCACCCTTCATGTTGTCTCTCACCCTTCCATAAAGTTGTCTCTCACCCTTCAATCAAGCTGTCCCTCACTCTTCCATCAAGTTGTCTCTCACCCTTCCATCAAGTTGTCTCTCACCCTTCAATCAAGCTGTCCCTCACTCTTCCATAAAGTTGTCCCTCACCCTTCCATCAAGTT